CGATTCCAACATATTTAATTTTACAAAAAAATTATTTTTTTATATGTTTATATTATTTTAATGTTTTTTTTTAAATAATTGTTAACACATAAAATAATACTATTTTATTACGGTATAAAAAATATTTTAAAAAACAATAATAAAAAAAATTTACTTAACGATTTTTTTATTCCTTGTTGAAATGGCCCAAGGCCTGGTGACTATAAAGGAAGGCCACGAAGCCCAGTTGCAATTGAAATTTGAAACTTATCGAAATTTGAAACTTATCGAAAGCTTAAACGTGAATGCCTTTAAAAATGGGATGGTAGTACCTAATCCTTTGTTACTGTAGACGCAATTTTTATTACTACAGAATTAAACAAGTATATGTACATAAATATTTATTTTTATTAAAATATATCGATAGTATAATTTTTATTTAAAATATTTTTATGAAAGAATAAAATAATCATATGATTATTTCCTTACATTTGATTTATAGTAAATTAATTTATTTGTAAAATCAAGATTTATGATTTGTAAAAACATAGATTTAGACATATTAACAAATCAACTATCAATATTTATTTGTGTCCTTGGTTTATTACTTGATTTGTATCATATTTTAGTTACCTTGATCGAAGATAGTTTTCTTGATTTAAGAGCTAATTGAAACTTCTTCTTATATATATAAAAATATTATTCATCAGTAATAAAAGACAAGAGTTAAATAGCTCTCATTTTATAATTTTTCATAATATTATAATGGTTAGAAACCTAAATTTTTCATGACCGAAGAAAATTTTTTGAGCATTAATAACACTCAATCAAATACTACCCAAATTAAACTTGATGTTCATCACTGTACATCCTTCATGCTTCTGAAAACCCAGGAACAACGTTAGTAACCTATCTCCTAAAAGAAGAAAATTATCCCATATGACGTCGTGTTATGACGAATGCACCCCAAGACAAAAGCAAATTTGGCTTCGTAGATGGATCTATTACTCCTTCATCATCTAGTTCAAAAGAAGATTCTACATGGATCAAATGCAATTCAATAGTCCTTTCTTGGATCTTTAATTCTCTTCATCCTACGCAACATGATATTGTGATATTTTTTATGACAACACAAGAATTATGGAAAGATTTAGAAGAATATTTTTCACAAGGTAATGCTTCTTGAATTCATCAATTGAAAACTAAGATGATGAATACCTTGCAACGAGAAATGATTGTCTTAGCATATTACACCAAATTAAAAGGCATTTAGGATGAACCCAGTGCTTATTCACAAATCCCACCATATAGCTGCAGTTCATCAAAGGTGTTTGCTGCCAAAAAAAAAAATACACCAATTTTTAATGCGTTTAAACGACAAATTCAAAACTACCCGTTCTCAAATCTTGAATATGAATCCTTTGCCTCTTTTATCTCATGTTTATACACAGGTAGCCCAAGAAGAATGACAATAGTTAATAGTAGAGACGTGATTGCCTTTTGTTGATATAGCAGCATTCTTGACAAACAGTTTTAGCAAATTCAATAACAATCGTAAATCCACAAGTAATTGTGACCTCTCCAAGCTATTTTGTGACCATTACAAAAGGATGAAGCACACCAAAGAAACTTGTTTTGAACTACATGGCTATCCGGAATGGTGGGATGATTAGTACCTAAAAGTGCATTTTTATCAAGGTTTTATATCATCATTTTGCACTTGAAGTATCAATAATTCCTTAACTAAAGCATGTTTTATAATAATATATCTAATAATATAAGATACCTTTAATTTATGGTAAATGTTCATTTTAAATGCAGGCCGATCACATAAATGAAAATATTGATTGATGACTTTAAGAACTTAAAGTGCAAGGATAAAGAGATGGCCAAACTTAGAAAAGAGATGTCGGTGCAATCCAAACCGGAACACTGTTCGGTAATTGGGTCATATCTGGAGCTATAGATCTCAGATTTAGGTCTACTTTATATGGATGGAAAGGTAAGACATAGGCCTACAACTTTCATATGGAGCCCAAGATCTAAAAAGGCCATTATCAAGTCCAAATAGTAGCAACAACAAAGAAGCCCGAATCTGTCTTCCAGCCCGAGCACTGTTCGGTATTTTGGCCATATCTGGAGTTCTAGAAGTCCAAATGAGCTGAATGTTTTACACAAGAAAGCTGAGACAATTGCCTACAACTTTCATGTTTACAACTGGCTCCAATTTTGACGTTATCAATGACGTTTTGGGCAGACAAGAGAAGATAAGGATTGTCACCAAGTCAAAAGTTGGTCACCCACTTATCAATTAGTCATCAAATCAATAGTTCCCAATTTTGGCCTATAAAAGGAGGCATTTGCCATGCATTTAGGCATCTTGGTGTTCAGATCAAGATCATGCTCTTCCTTTCTCTCTTTGTATTTTTTATGCTTTGTTTTCATTAATATTAAGTTTATGCCTTTCATTTCCTTTCCTTTACTTAGTTAACTTTTATGTTCTTATTTTGTTTATCTATTTTGCTTTCTTTCATTATGTCTAGCTAAGTTAATTATGTCAAGGTGAAAAGGTTACACTAATGGTGTAAGAATAAGTATAATGTAAACTTAATATGGACTTTAATGTTTGATACTAACATGTTTTATATTTGCTATCTTGTTCACTCTTTAATACTTTGCTTGTTAAATGACTAATCTTGATTTATGTTGTATAACACTTGGTACAACAAATGCTTGGCACTTTCATAGCCCATAATGTATGGTATAACCGACATACAATTAATCTTCATGTGGTTCGACCCCGGTCTTACCGGGTTATTTATTACTTCGACACTCCTGCATTTGGGAGAAGACATCAATCTTTTAGTCGTGTCATGGGACAAAGGGAAGAAATCATTAAAGCCACAGACAACCAATAATACACAACACATGGAGAAAATTAAGGGTAACAATATTGTTTCAATTACTGGATTGACAAATGAACACGCAACTCATATATATGCCCAACCTTGATAAGAGTCATGCCTCTACAATCAACTTTGTGGGTATAGCTAATTTTACGGGTCATGCAATTTTTCTACCCAACAATAAAGATAAATGGATCTTGGATTTCAACGCCTTTGACCATATGACATTTCAAGAAAAATTCAACTCTTTATACACAACTATTCTTTATTTCATGCCAATTAAAATTTCAAATGAATCCTTTGTGCCAACATAGTCACTTGGAAATGTTTCCCTTACCTCTTTTATTACTTTAAAAGATGTCCTTCATATACCATTATTTTCCTACAAGCTTATTTCTATTAGCAAATTAACTAAAGCATTAAATTACGTTTCTCATTTTTTTTCCTTCCTTCTATGTTTTACAAGGCCTAACCACGAGGAGGATAATTGGAATGGGTGAATTACGAGATGGTTTTTATTACTTTCGGGCACTCAAAATTCCTATAACAGCAACCAACTTTACTTATAATTTGCATATTACTCTATGGCATCAATGTCTTGGACATTTATCTTTTAATGGGTTGTTTTTTCTCAAGGATTTAGGTCCATTTTCTTTTAAGTCTTTTAATAAATGTTGTGACTCTTATCATCGAACTAAACAAGCTTGATCTTCCTTTCCTGTTAGTGCTATCAAAACACATGAACCTTTTAAGTTAATTCATTATGATGTTTGGGGGCCATATCAAACTCTATTTTTACCTAGGGCTCATTATTTTTTGAAGTATTGTAGATGATTACACTAGAACTACCTAGGTTGATTTGATGCAAGCTAAATCATAAGTTTATACCAGGTTGGTTTTCTTCATGACCATGATAGTTCGACAATTTGAAAAAACAGTTAAGACAATTCGTAGTGATAAAAGGAGTGAATTTACTAATCATAACCTTCTTTTATATCGTCAACAACTGGGATTATAACTCAATTTTCTTGTGTTTCTACACCCCTACAAAATGGAGTCATAAAACGTAAGCATAAACATATTCTTGACGTTACAAGAGCCTTATAATTCCAAGAAAATTTACCTATTAACTTTTGTGGGGAATGCATTCTAACAGCCGTGTATTTGATTAATTATACTTCTACCCCCTTTTATCTGGCCAAAGTTCATATGAGTTTTTATATTCCCGTAAACCTAATTACTCACATCTTCGTGTTTTGGATGTCTTTGTTATGTATTTATTCTGCCTCAATCAAAAGATAAATTTTCTAAATGTGCCAGAACATGTCTCTTTATTGGATATCCCTATGGTCACAAAGGATACACATAAGAGTTTTATCTCCAGAGATGTTGTGTTTTACAAATACATTTTCCATTAAAATCACTAACATCTCCCATCATATTCCTCATCTTCTCAATCTACAAATGTACCCATACCTCTACTTATTCCTGACAATGAATCCATTGAACCTATTCCAAATACTACCATTAAACATATAAAATCACCCTCCCCATACACAAATCATACAATTCCTACTGACCTTAATATACTTGCATTACCTATAGACACACCTGCCACTTCCACTACTTTTCAACCTCCCATACCACCAACCACACGCCCTTTACACATTACAAAATTGTCATCTCACTTCCATAAATTTCATGTTGAGTTGCCAAAGTTATATACATCTCAGTTGACCTCTTTCAATAATGCATCTTCAGGTACATCTTATCCATTATCAACTTTCTTTCATAGTCTAATTTAACTACTTCACATGCTAGCTTTCTAGC